TCGTAATTGTGTGTTCGTTGTGCGTTCGTAGTTGTGTACAGGTTTCACGCATATTTTAGTTTTGATAGATGCACTTACTCGATATATTTACCTAATCTAGTACACCTGTAAGAAAGAAGCTGTAAAATAGATTAGAAACCTTGCATGTTTTGAAACAGCTAAATTTTTTATTTTAGTTGTTTTCATAGCATAATTGCATAATGAAAATCTTTATATTTGGTAATGCAACTGACAGTCTTTGTTTTGCAAAAGATTAGAAATAAGAAATAAGAGCAAATTATAACCTAGGTTCAAAGGAATCACTTAGAGAAAAATTTATATAAATATACACTATAGAGCGGACATTGGGAACATTTGCTTCAAAAACAGTGAGCTCGCGCGTGTTTTACGCCCTCTAGCGAAACATAGCAATACTACGCTGAATATTTATTTGGAAAACATTTAAGCTATAATTGCATCCTGTGGGGCGCTTCCCTCTCTTATACGTAACTCCGGCTGCCACTTGAGATTTTTCCTTTCCCATCGATTGTCGGTTCATTGACCTATATGGCCAGTTTATTATCACTTTAGCTATTAAATGTAAAGAGAATAAACAACTTCAGTCCACGTGATGTTAAGTGGTTACTGCAGCTCATGGACACCTATATCTAAATTTAAACAAAAAATGCTACCGCTGCTTTTTCATCTATGAGGACTAACATTGAATGCCTCTCAACCCGTCAATATTATGGCTATCTTTTCCCGGAACACACAAGTAAAAGCAATGCTGTTGGCGGCACTGGATAAGTAAGTGGGTGATACCTATCAAGACTAACTTCTTAGCTGAAAAGGACCTACCACCTAGCAGGTCTCTTCTATTCTTCTTAGAGTAAATAATTTTCTATCTTAGAGTAATTAATCTTTTATTTTTAAACTTTTAAAGCAATAATGCCCTCAATCAAGGTAACTTTAACGTGTATATACACTAATATATACACCGTATTAAACTGAAAATACTTATTTTATTTGTTTAGGAACATAAATTGAAAAGCACTAATAAGGAAAATATTTGAGAAAAAGAATAGAAACGTAATTACGACAATTTCCTTTTAACTTATTCCATCTGTGAGTTTTACTTCTTGATTTCTTTCAGCAATACTTTTTGGAAACACGGTGGGTAGGAGCTATTTTCAAAGCAATTATTTAAAAAGATTCAAATCCATCCAGTCCAGTCCACCTGATGGTAAGTGAATATTGTGGCCCTTCGACATCCAAATTTGCAACAAGTAAGTAACAAGTAAGTAAGACAAGACTTCATTAACAGTGGAATGGATTTATGGATTTATTTATTTATTTAAAACGTCAATATAACACCTTAAAATTATACATACATAGGTACATAGGGTTAACTTAATGACATGTGCTATTTATTCTCTGCAAATCCACAAAAAAATCATTAAGTGCAAAATATCTAAATGTGTAATTAAAAAATAAATTATATAATTTCTATGTAAAAAGATAGAATATCTTTATACTAAACCGCATAGAAAGTCACACAACACAATTGGTTCAATGAGTTTAAACGTGGTCACACTAATCTCACCGATGATCTGCGTGAGGGACGACCTTTTACGGCGACGACTGACGAAAACATCGGTGTAGGGCGGCGTATGATAGAGACTGACAAAAGAGTGATTTATCAGCAAATTTGGACAAGTTTAGGCATCGGTATGAGTCAAGTGCACAAAATCCTCCATGAACATTTTTTTTATATAGAATAGGGTGACAAACGAGCACACAGTCCACCTGATGGTAAGTGGTTGCTGCGGCCCATAGACATCTACATCTATCCTCGATTACAAAACCAAATACAGATGCTTTGTCACCCGTGAGGACTAAGATGGAATGCCTCGTTTCCAGTGAAAAGGGTCTCCGGTTCTCTACACTCACCATACGAAATACAGCATCATTAAGCTACTATTTCACGCTGGTATTCTGTGAGAGCGTGGTCCTTCCCCGGTTGAGCCGACCCATTCGTGTTACAACTCTACTACTAATATAACTGCAGCATGGCTCTACCATGAGCTACATTCTAGATCTACATTTAGTGATCAGGAACCTTTGTGTCCGATGGATCTCATAATTTGACATAGGTCCAAAAACTCCGTCGTGTTGATTGGTGTCGTGAAATGGTTCAAAGATTTAACGGAGGTGACTCAAATGCTGTGTTTGACATACTTACGTGTAACGAAAGCTGGATTTATTGTTTATATTCTGAAACTAAGAAACAGTCTCCTGTCTGGGTGTGTCCTTCCGAGGAGTTGCCGACTAAAGTGAAGAGAGGTTTAAGTGTGGGAAAAAGATGGTGGCCTCGTTCTTTGGAAGTACAGGTCATTCCGCGACAATTTTTATAGAGAATCGAATAACAGTTACTGCAGAGCGGTACACTAACAATTGTTTGCCAATTGTATTGGAAAAAGTTCGGGAGAAACGACCTTGCATTAGGGTCCTCCTTCACCATGACAACGCCTCGTCGCACATTGCCAAACAATCTTCTAAATGTATGCACTCCAAATAAAATTGTATCCAGATACGGTACCATTGACGATACTTCCGTTTGGACGCATGGCGTCACTTTGAAATTGGCAGTCGTACGGAATGGAAATAAATAATAATATGGATAATAATACTTTACTGGTGACTGCAGCAGCGTGTATTTCATGAAAAAGACAAAAACCTAAACGGAGCAATCAATCATAGTCTTCAAAGATGACAACGCATCTATATTTTGATACCTAATTGAGGATACGTGTAAATGTCTATGGGCTACAGCACCCACTACCAGGTGAACAGTGTGCTAGTTTGTCACTGCCATTCTAGATATGGTATAGATTATGGTGGAGCAATATCGTTGACTGAGGTAGAAATTAAAAACATATAGTGGATATTTTTCATTATAACTATACGTGGTAGAGCAACGTTGCATCTATATTATGGCTGTAGCACAAATGGGTCGGCTCGAACGAAGAAGGACCTCGATCTCACAAAATAGCATATAATAGCAGCTTAAATCTGCTGAGTTTCGTATTCGTACAGAGCACATGTACACCACCATCAACACCAAAATATTAACTGATACAATAACGTCCAAAAAATTGACGCCGGTTCGCCCCATGAAGGTTAGAGAACGGGAGAACGATCACTACGTACTAAAGCACAGTGTTGCCAGATGTCTTAAACCCTTTATCTGTATTAGAAACTGCTAAAATCTGTATTAAATCTGTATGCTATTTAAAATTAAAATCTGTATAATATACCTAATAAACCAAAATAGAATAATTGATCATCATCATCATTGCTACTTTTGAAAAATAAGGAATAACTACTAACATGATAAGCTGATAAAGTTTGGTTATCGTTATTAAATAAAAATAATTTTTTATATAGAATAAGGGTGACAAACGAGCACACAGTACACCGATGGTAAGTGGATGCTGTGGCTCATAGACACCTACATTTATCCTCGCTTAAGAATCAAGACGCAGATGCGTTGTCACTCCTGAGGACTAAGATAGAATGCCTCGTTTCCAGTAAAAAAGGGTCTCCGGATTTCTACACTCACCATACGAATCACAGCAGTATTAAGCTGATATTTTATGCCGTTGTTCTGTGAGAGCGTGGTCCTACCCCGGTTGAGCTGACTCATTTGTGCTGCAACCATAATATAGCTGCAGCGTGGCTCTACCAAGTATAAAATATACACTAAAAATTTTTATATGGCAAAATTGAATACATTAATTTAAGCAAACAACGTATTAAAACTCAAACATTTGCGGCGAACGAACATATAATTACTTTATTATTTTCAGTCATACATATTTTATAATACACTTGTAATTCTGCCGTACTAACTACGTTGTGAAAAAATAAATAAACCATAAAGAATAGAATCATGAAAGTGTGTAACGCGGTATCTAGTCACTTATTTTGGCTTCATTCTGTTTTAAGTTGAATATTATGGTAATCCAATCAATAGAGTTGGAAAACTCTGTATAAAAATCTGTATCCAGTGCTAATCTGTATCACACACCGAAAATCTGTATAAATACGGGGAAATCTGTATACATGGCAACACTGCTAAAGCATAGCCCGCCTATCCTTGAAAATTGTAGAATACATAGCGGCGCTGACATCGGTGCGTAGTGACTGCGAAGTTAGCTGTTTATGAGTACAAGTAGGTGAAGTTAGTTGAATAATGTACAAATTTTCATTTCATTTTTTCGTAGAAAATTTTCATGCTCCGTAATTTTGTAACTTTTGACAAAAAGAAACATTAAAAAATTGAGAAATATTTTATTATGCGTGGATGTGCAAGTGGTTGAGCATCTGATCGGAAAAATAGACTGAAAATTACTTTTATTGACTGCACTTAGTGAGCGCAGTGCCTCACTGATGGTGTCCACATTTCTGGGACACTATTTTCTACGGCGATCGTTCTTCTGTTCTCTAACCTTCATGGTTCGCCCATTCACTGGCAATTCATACTGCTTCCATTTGGCGTGACGCACGTTTTTGACATTGACGTACGGCCGTGGATGACGTCCATTTGGACTGGACGCATGGATTTCAATCAATTTGGAAATCCCCAGAGCTGGATGAAATCCATCCAAATGGAATACGTTTTTACTATTCACGATACGATTTTGGACGATTACCACTTCATTTGGATTAATGGACGTATCGTCAGTGGGTACCATTATTCATCATATCTTTCATCAGGTTTTGTTACAGACTCAATATTCGTAAAAACCGTTCGTAAAAGTCTACTTTTGTCATGTCCTGATTAAACAATGTTCGCAGATTTCAACGTTGCTAACATCTGACAATTGTTGCCGAGAACCAGCAACGGACCTAAAAACAAATAGGCAACTTATTTGTAAACAATTCTTAAAAGTACCCAATTATAACGCTGAAAAAAGTGTAACTATGATTAATATGTTTTGTTATTGTTGTTGTTACAGGAAGAAAGTAATAGCACCACTGGTAGCGGAGAACATGCTATCAATGAAAATGCTCTAGAAAACGTAGACAATCACACAACTGAGAATGTTAATAATCAAATGCAAGATATGAATGATCAGAGTATACCAACTGAACCTTCTGTGTACCATCTGAACAACCTGCTGCCCAATCTAATGTGCAAAACACCCAACACAATGTTCAAACCCAAAAAAGGAATCAAAATAAAAGAAGAAAAGTTCTAGATTATAATAATAAATAAATTTTATTACATAAATACAAATACACTTTATTGACACCAAAAGAAAACATTACCTACACAGATAACACAAAATAATACAAACAAATTTAAGTCAATAATTATTATTATATTAGTACGTCTACTGCTACATCTACCTTTACTTTAAGAATTATAATATTCTAATAATTTAATTATACTTTAATAGTTACCTGTAAGTTTTTTTTTTTAATCAAAATAAAAAACGAACGGTTTTTACGAATATTGAGTCTGTAACAAAACCCGATGAAAGATATGATGAATAATGGTACCCACTGACGATACGTCCATTAATCCAAATGAAGTGGTAATCGTCCAAAATCGTATCGTGAATAGTAAATACGTATTCCATTTGGATGGATTTCATCCAGCTCTGGGGATTTCCAAATGGATTGAAATCCATGCGTCCAGTCCAAATGGACGTCATCCACGGCCGTACGTCAATGTCAAAAACGTGCGCCACGCCAAATGGAAGCAGTCTGAATTGACAGTGAATGGGCGAACCATGAAAGTTAAAGAACAGAAGAACGATCGGAGAGTGTCAACTGAACGTCAATAACGGTTTTACGCGTTTTTGTTGTCATTTTAATTATTTTAAGTTTTCTTGTAATATTCTGATTACATTCCTTTTATATTTTAGTATATATTAATAATATTTATTTGCATTTTCATATTGTATCTCATTTAGCGACAATTTCATACTATCACAAAATAGTTTAACGTAGCCTTAGTCTCTCGGTCGCCATGTCTAATCCAATTCCGCCTAAGCCACCGGATCCGAATTATTCTGACACTAACATTATTTCCTCACCAGCTGCTTATGTGGAAATTGAAAATGATTTAGAAGGTTCATTTAAAAAACCACGGCAGTCATTATCGCAAGAAATTTTTGATGACAACTTCAAAATTATTTCAAACAAAAAGAAAAGAAAACATAAAACGAAGGAAAGGAAGAAGGAAGAGTATGCTAATCGGGTTGACATAAATAGAAGAATTTCAGCTTTTTCCACCAATTCCTCATTCTCAGAATCGGACTACGATACTGGTAATACTTCATCATCTAAAATTAAAATTGTAGGCTCTAACTCTATCAAAAGCAATATGTCAGGACAACGTGCTTATGAATCTCCCATGTCTTTATCATCCAATATTGCTTGTACACAATCATCTGAAATCCCTCTTTCACAATCATCTGGCATTCCTCTATCACAAACATTAAATTCTGCCAATAGTTATATCTCTTCTAAATCTCTTCTTATAAGAAAACATTATATATTCCTAAACCATTACGTCACCATTCACAAACAGGATACGACAAAAAAAGTCATCAAAAAATTATTGAAGATTTTTCAATTCCGCAACCTGAGGATGGTTGTGCTCTTCGGGTTTCACCAGTTACTTCACAGGGTAATTTTGATTCTGTAGAAAGCATTATAAGTTTCCTTATTAACATAATCATATCTTCGTATTCGTCGAAACTACCGTCCCACGTTGCTCGCTTACTAAATTCTATACCTAAAATTCTCCAAGACATTCACTCTCACAAAGATCCTTCAATGGAATTGTAGAAGCATTTTAGATAAACGTACTGAAATAATCTATTTATTAAAGAAATACAGTGTGTGTATCGCTGCTATTTCAGAGACATGGCTAAAACCGGATTCGAATATCAGAGTACCTGGTTTTTGTCTTGTTCGAAGTGACAGATCTGATGGTTATGCCGGATGTGCTTTGCTTATAAAAAATAATATAACTTATTCCATTATAGATGTTTATGATGAAATATTTGACTTTAATATTGTAGCAGTAAGAATTCAAAATATAACTTTCGTTTCTATTTATGTTCCCTCCCCTTCTGTCCATTCGTTTCGCAGAATAAAATCTTTAATAGCCTCCTTACCCAAACCATTTATAATTCTTGGTGACTTTAATTGTCATCATTATTTATGGGGTGATAATACTGATAAATACGGTAGTTTATTAGTTGAAATAATTGACGAACTTAATATTTGTGTCCTTAATACTGGCAAAATTACCAAACGCTCTCGTCCTAATGAGTCTAGAAGTGCTGTAGATTTATCAATTTGTACTCCTGATTTAACCACTCTTCTAAATTGGTCAGTTCTAGATAGCTCTCACGGCAGTGACCATTTTCCCATTCTGATTTCCTTTCCAAACAAAGAATTGGCAGAAATTAACAAAAAACCATGTATTAAATACAAATTAGACAGAGCAGACTGGAACCTGTACAATATTTTTCTTTACAATGAAATTCTAAAAATCGCTCCTATTTCTGAAAATAATATAACTTCTATTGTTGAAGCATTTACAAACGCAGTTATAAATGCAGCAGATCAAACAATTCCTGTTAAAACTCTAAATAATAAATGTAGGCCCTCCCCTCCATGGTGGGATTCTGAATGTTCTGAGGCCATTCGTAATAGGAAAAAAAGCCGAAAAACAATATAAATTAGACATGAGTTCGGAAAACTATTCATACCTTCAACGTGTACAAGAAGTGACTAAAAATACTCTTCGCACAAAAAAACAAACACGTTGGCATGCCTTTTGTTCCTCAATTTCTCCTTTAATACCTTCATCAGTTGTTTGGAGTAATATTAGAAAATTTCGCTGTTGTTTTTCATCTTGTTCTTACGGTGGTGCCATTCCCTCTCAATCTATAAACACTTTTCTAGATAAACTTGCCCCCTCTTCTGCTCCTTTGAGAGAGGAGCTACCTCGAAGTATTCCATGTGATTCTTTTTTTGATCGCTTAGAGCGTCCATTTTCTTTATCTGAATTAAAGCTCGTCCTTTCTCACGTTCAAGATTCAGCTCCTGGTTTAGACGGTATTCCATATTCACTACTTGCCAAATTTAATGATCATATTTTATCCTATTATTTAAATATCATTAACTTTTTGTTTGACATAGGCTTTGTTCCTGACTGTTGGCGGACTCAAGTAATTATTCCTATCTTGAAACCTGACAAAAATCCTAACGACGGCTCTTCTTATAGACCGATCGCTCTATCCTCAACTCTAATTAAAACCTTTGAACATATGATCAAGAACCGTCTTGAATGGTATGTAGAAAGTCATGGATTGTTATCAAATTCCCAATATGGATTCAGAAAAGGTAAAAGCACATACGACAGTCTTTCTATCTTCACCACAGATATTAGACTAGCATTTTCGAGAAATGAATCGGTCCTTGCTGCTTTCCTTGATATTTCTTCTGCTTACGATAATGTCAGACTCAACATCCTTAGAGAAAAGATGTTTAAGCTTAATATATCCAAAAAACTTACAAATTTGATTATCAATTTATTTCTAGATCGATATATACATATTAAAATTGGTGATGATCTAAAATATACTCGAAAGGTTTTTAAAGGCCTTCCACAAGGCTCTGTTTTAAGTCCTTTATTATACAATATTTATACGTCAGATTTGGATCAGTCTATTTCAAAGTGTAGAATTTTGCAATATGCTGATGATATCTTAGTTTATGTTAATGATAAATGTATAGAATCTTGTGCTAATGCGATAGAACAAGATCTCCTCTCTATGGCCTCTTGGTTAGATGATCATGGACTAGAACTTTCCCCAAATAAAAGTAATACAGTAATTTTTTCGCGCAAAAGAGTTTTACCTGAAATCCAAGTTCGCTTTTTTGATTATCCACTCGTAAATATTCAACAAGTTAAATTCCTTGGTGTAATTCTTGATAATAAATTATCCGGCATGCCTCATATAATTTATACCCAAAAAAAATGCGAAAAAAATATAAACATTCTTAGAGCTTTGTGCGGGGTATGGTGGGGCGCTCATCCATATTATTTAAAATTAATTTATAATGCAATTATAAGAAGCCGATTAGATAATGCCTCATTTCTTCTTGAACCAGCTAGTAATAAAGGATTAAAAATATTAGATATCATTCAACACAAGTCTTTAAGATTAATTATAGGCGCTATGAATTCGTCGCCTATCAATGCCTTGCAGATTGAATGCGGTGATCCACCACTTTTTATTAGACGACAATATTTATCGGATTCCTTTTTTTATCGGGTTCTTCAATTTTCAAACCATCCATTACTACCTAAAATTCGTTTGCTTTCTCAGTACATTTCAATTAATTCAGGAAAATACTGGCGTAATAAAGAAACTCCTAACCTAGTTAAAAGCTATGAACATTATAATTCCTTACTAGATCCTATTTATAGGTCGGCGACTCTGCCTCTTTTCTCCAATTCGTTTGAAGTTGCACTTTTCAAACCCAATGTCATATTAGATATAGGATTAAATAAATTTTCTATTGAATCAAATAAAAAATTTGTATTTACGTTGGACAAGAATTTCCCAGATTGTCATTATATTTTTACAGATGCTTCTAAGACTAACTCAAAAGGTTGTACTGGATATGCCATATACCATCAAAATTGGAGAATAGTTCAAAAAATGAAAAGTCCTCCCGAATCTTCAGTTTTTACTGGAGAAATGTTAGCCATTTTACAATCAATAAAATATTGCTATCTTTTTAAATTAAAATCAAGCGTGATATTTTCAGATTCTCTTAGTTCTTTACAAGCATTGTTATGTAATCCTTTCTATGACATTTCCCGCAATCCTTTGATATTTGAAATTAAGAAACTTCTATTCTTATACCAATTTCAAAACATCAACATTTCTCTCGTTTGGATTCCGAGTCATATTGGTATATCTGGTAATGAATATGCTGACAAACTTGCTAAACAAGCTATAGTCTGTGGGGATACTTTCTTATTTAAAAATTATTGCTATGACCTTATAAGAACTACGAAATTAGTATATAGAGATAGATGGTCAAAACATTGGAACAAAACCAAAACGACAAAAGGCTGTCACTATGCCAAAATTCAACCCATCATTCCTTCTAAGCCTTGGTTTTATAAATTATCCTTAAATAAGAAACATACATCAATGTT